GAGATGGAGCCAAACTCTGAGTGCAGAAACGACAGCTGGGGAACAGAACACAGCTAAGGAACAGAGTCAGGGGGTCAGCGGATGGAAAGTTACTGTGATGACACCTCAAGGGCAGGGGGATCCTTGCTGAAGGCAGGCCGGGGTGACCAGACGTCAAGGGTGAGGGACACGGAATTTGATTAGATATCAAGGGTGGAAGATTCTCGCCAAACTGACTTATTAGCAGGATTCTTGCTAGAACTGGGCTGTGTAGGCCCAGCGGGACCGGGCCGAGGCATGGGTCCAGCCCGGAGTGGGGGCTCCGAGGAGCCTGACTCCGGCTTCGTCAAGGAGAGTCTTTGTCAGTACAGCTGGAAAATGTTGAAAATTCTGGAAAAAAACTCAGTGGTTTGTAACCTCAGCATTAGAAAACCGTTTTCATATAAGAACTGTGTTTTGTAATATTAACCAAGCGATTTTGCAATATTGTTCTGAATAATTGTGGCTTTTCTGGAAAAATGTATTACTCTAAATTTGTTTATTTAGAGATCTTTGAAATAATTTTATTCCTGTAAGGATGGTATCTGGATTTTTACTTTATATATTTAGAGAAATTATTTTATACTGAGGCCTTTGTACTTAGAAAAAAAAGCCCTACTTTCAACTGGAACTTTTTCGAATAAGAATAAAAGTATATTTTAAGACTTCACAGTGTAAAATTATATAAAATTATATATTTTTTTTTCCAAGGACAGTGCCAAGAATACAGGGGCCGACAGTACTCTTGGCACTGTCCTTGGAGGTCTGTCTTTTACAAAGTGAATGATTCTGTGTAGCTGTCTAGACAATTTCTTCTTCTAGCACTTTGCGTTTACAAAATGCTTTTAAATACAAATGTTATTTAATCCTTTCAACAGCTCAATGAGGAAGGCATTGTTATTATTGTCCCTTTGTGGTAGTAAAGGAAGTGGGATCCTCTGAACTTTCTGGAGCTCAGCAGCGCTGAACAGCAGGGTTGGGCCGTACCCTCCAGTCTTCTGAGCAGATACCCAGCTTTTTACTCAGTATCACACACAGTGCTGTAGGTTGTTTGTGCTCATTGTCAAGTTATCTAAATTTAACAGAGTTTATCAGCAAAACTCATCTGCAGTAGTGTTGAACTTTTCAGATAATAAACTAGCCTAATATATATATTTTTTTACCTTAGAACCTTATGTGTTTCTAGTTATATAAAATTATGCATCACTAATGACTATGATTTTGCTTCGGTCACACAGGACCTGAGCAGAAAGCCATTTGATTTCTCACATTAGATTGGTGATTTTTTTTCTTATGAAAATCAGGGTTTTTTTTGTTTGTTTGTCCGTTTGTTATTTTTGCCAATTTTGCAGGCTATTCTAAAAGTTGGGATGTCTGTAGCCAGCTAGGACAATCAGAAGGCTACCAGGACTTGGCCACTCGTCAAGAGCTCATGGCTTTTGCTTTGACACACTGCCCTCCGAGCAGCATTGAACTTCTTCTGGCGGCGAGCAGCTCTCTGCAGACAGAAGTAAGCCGTCCCTAAAAAAGTATGAACTGTATGAAGTGCATTTGCATTTTATGGGGTGCATGGATCTGAGGTCTTTGGTCATTTATAAACATAATATAAGAATTTTAATTTATGAAAATTAGCTTGTCACTTAAATGTAAAGGGATTTGAAGATATTAAGATATAAAATAGTGTTTGCTTTATTATAGTAAGGATGAAAGGGTACAAAGCAGATGTGAGAAAAATGGAAAGTAATATTAGAAAATAAATAATTGAATGTAATGGGAAAAGTCCATGTTGTCAAGGACAAAACAGAAGAAATGGCCATGTAAAATATATTCTAAACCTTATGAATTACAACTAGTGGTGGCGCTGTCCCTTCGAGGTCCTTTGGAAATGGCAGGGCAGTGGGATTTGGGGTGAGGCTACATTCCCTGAAATCCATGGGAAGATCTGCGTAAGGCGGGGCAGGGCTGCTGTTGGGAAATGCTGTTAAGAAGAGTCTGAAATTCACGTTTCATGTCCCGGCCATTCTCTACGTCACGTGTGAGGCTTCTCACAGGGGACTCCCACTTCTGACACCTTCATAGGCCATGAGGTTGTTCCTAAAGGCCTGAAGCAAGCCTGTTACTCAGGACTATGCGTTATGAAATAGCATTTTTTTTTTTTCTCAAAAGAGTACTTTTTACATGTCCAGCTTACATTGTGAAGAGAGGCACTTTAAAAAATTTCTTTATAATATATCAGGTTCTTTTTTTCAGATTCTTTATCGAAGAGTGAATTTCCAGATCCATCCAGAAGGAGGAGTGAGTATCAGGGTTTCACCATTAATTAGTAAAGTGCCACAGAGGTAAGGTACTGGAGAGGGAGGGTAGAGCTTAAGAGGTGGCTGTGAGTGGAATGAAATGGAGCCACCTAACTGAAAGTATGAGGAGTGTGTGTGTGTGTGTGTGTGTGTGTGTGAGTGAGTGTGTGAGTGAGTGTGTGTGTGTGTGGACTGTTTTCATTTGTTTTGTGTGTGAAATATAACATTCACATAGAAAAAATACTCAAAACAAAGATGTCCAGGTCAGTAAATTTCCACAAAGAAAATATTCATTAAACCACCACACAATTAAAGAAATAGTAGTATAGAACCAGCCTTCCACAAGTCCATCCACCCTCTCCGAATTTTTCTCATCTCTCCTTCCAGAGATCACTGCTGTCCTGACTAATCCTGATACTAGACATTGGTGGTTTTTTGTTCTTGTTTTAAATAATTCTAATACTCATTGCATGCCTCCTGATATGATGGTTTAATTTTACCTGATTTTGTACTTTACAGAAATAGTTACGTTCTGTATGGTGAGATTCATCCATGCTGATATTCACTGTTATTGCTGTATGGAAGTTAATATCAGTGTGCATATGTGACAGTTTGTCCACCTAATGTTGATTGACATAGGTTTGTTTTCCATATGGCTACTAAGAATAATCCAACGTCGTCATTTTGTACACGCTTCTACTGCATGTGTGCATACCTTCTGGAGTCTGCCTACCTGCCTTAGAAGTGGACGTTCTTAGATGTTTCGTGTTCAGCCTCAGAGTGGTTTTACCAGTTATACTGTGACAGCGGTGTTTGGGAGTGCCATTTACTCTGGTCTAGCACCTTGACATTGTGTGTTTTCTATGTATTTGTGGTTTTGATTTGCATTTATATAATTACTAATGAGATGGAATTATCTCAGGAGAGATCCTCTTTTGTGAGATGCTTGTTCAGGTCTCTTGCCTAGTTTTTACTGGCTTTTTTTTTCTTTTTACCTTTTCTCATTGAATTCTTATGAGTAAAATTTGTCTGAAACTATTAAGGAGGAAGTATACACCCACTAACACTTCTCTTCCCTTGGTCAATGTTTGCTCCATGGAGTTTAACTTTTCATGACAGTTTCTAGCAACATAAAATTGGTATATTTTTTAGGTCAAAGAAAGTAGCCCACTGTCTGATAATCTAATTAGGTAAATTAAGAAATGATAATCCTCTTTGTAGATTGGTTTTCCACAGTACTCCTTTAAATGGTAAGCGTCATTTTCAAAGTATAAAATGTCATTAATTTTTCCAGTAATTATTTTGGAAGACATCTATTGTGGTGAGCTGTACCTAACCTTTTTTTTTTTTTTTTAAATTCGATATGTCCATTTTGCAAAACTGATTTGTGTAGTTACTTTTAAAAGTCTGATACAAAGCTTCACTTATGGAATCTGTTGATGGACCTGGGGCAGAGCTTTTGCTCAGAGAGGAGTATGTATAAATACCCCATTTCCATCACTTTTATATTCAAATTCAATTTGATAAACATACTGAGTATACACATGTACCCTCCAGAGGCTAAGCTCAGTGCTGAGTGATCTGAGGCTCTCAAAGCTCTTTCTGTGACTTTTTGCCCGTATGGCGTTGTCTCCTCACGGTGACTCCAGGACAGTGCTGACCCAGAGAATTTTTCCCAGTGTGGGATATGATCCATATTTCTGCTGCCCAGCAGTCACATGTAGCTGTGGAGTACTTGAAATATGGCTAGTGCAAGTACGGAATCAAATTTTAACTTTTATTATATTCAGTTAAGTTAAAGTTAAATAGTCACACGAGGCCACTGACTCCCAGACTGGACGTCGCAGCTCCAGATCAGACACTCGGTGGAGGATCGTGTTCTCCCATCGGCACTGTGGCTAGCATGCTGTCCGTTGTCGTTGTATTCCCTCTGGGTGGGAGCCGCAGCGTTTTCCAGGCGCCTGGGGCGGTGTGGACGCGTCCTGACCTCTGGCGTGTCTTGACTTGTAGCTGTACGGATTAGTTGCTGTTGGGCTTTCCCCACTGCAGCCTATGGTGTTTCCTCCCTGGGATTCAGAGCAGTTCTTCTCTTGACCACGGTGACCGATGTTTGTTGTGTTAGGAGCTGGCGAATTTTCCCATTGTTCAAGGTCTAATTGAAGACTTACTTTTAACGAGTTCTTCTTCATCCCAAGTTTTGTGTCTTTTGAGCCTCTGATCCTTTCCTACCTGTCCAGCCACATCTCCCCCTCGGCCATCTTTCTCATCTTTCACGCCTTCCAAATGGACGGTGTTGCAGTCACACTGACCCTACCACCACCCTCCGAGTAGCCTCTCACACCTTCGGTGTTGCTTAGAGTCTTCTCCCTGGCTTGTGCTCTGGTCTTTGTTACCCCTGTACCCCATCTAAAGTATTGTTTTTCTTTGTGAAGTTTTCCTTGAGTCTTCTAATTGCCCTTCTTTGTCCCCCGCCATTCTCACATCATTGTGTCAGCACTTGTATGTATGGTATTGTATGGTAACTGGAAGTATGACATTTATCTTTATACTCTCTCTATAGAGTGCTTGTCACATAATGAACACCTAGGAAATGTTCGATAAAGCTCAGTTGAGAACTCCCACTGCATACAATTAGTCTGTGATAAAAATGAATGAGAAAGTAGATGTTAGCCTAAAAATAATAAGGAATTCCCCATTTAAGTCACATGTATGTGCCATGGTGGCTGAGATCCTGTTACATTTTGGCCAGTGTAAGGGGTGTACCATTTCTCTGAGTATAGATTTGCAAAGTATTTCTGCTGAGTTCTGCTCCATAGCTTATTCTGAAGCCCCATCCTATGTTATTAAAACCATGAAAAGCCTTTTAGATTTCCTATTTTCTGCTTCTCCAATGAATTATAAAATGTTGGGCTGGCCCCTTGGTGACTTCTTTGGAGTAGGACATGCTGTGTTACCACAAGCGGACACATATTGCTCTTTAGTAAATGGAGACCACTAGCAGTCCTTTACACGTTCTGCTTAGCAAGGAAAAGGAATTAATTCAAAATGATTGTCTCCCCACCCTTTTTTACCTCCTTAAAAGGTTTTCTGTCTCCCTTTGTCCTCTTTCAGCAAGTTGCAATAAATCTAGATCTCATGAAGTGCTAATCCAAACCTTCAATGAACACATTATGGCTGTGATTCATGAAGCACATTCAGAATATTACAGCTACTATTATTATATTAAAATGTAGTGCCCAACTATAAGATGCCACTGTTACATATTAACAGACATAATAACCACATTAAATTATAACATATGAGAGCCAGCTGTATGTGTAATCTGCTTAATGCTCAAGACTTTCATTACTCAGTTGTGAAAATAGTGACTTTTATTTATACGTCCCAGCAAAGTGAAGATGTAATTGCTGTGCAGTAGATTTGCATCAGTACAAGTGTAGCCTACAAGTCTGAGGCTGTTGGCTGTCATCCCTGTGAACCAGATATTTGCTTATAAATAGAACAAAACGCATTGTGAAAAACTACCAAAATTAGAGTTTTCTAGTTTCTTATTAATGTTGGTTATTATGATTTTTAGATGTAATAGTATTCCACCACTTAGAGTATATTAACATTTTGTTTAGCTAGTATTAGTTATACCACTTAGCCAATGGTGTTTTCCCTAGATAAATCTAATTAGAGCTGGAAATGGATTATATACAAGGTTCCCATTAAAAAATCATTTTCACTGTGGGAAAACTTGTTGTTAACACTGTGAGTAGCCACAGAATTATGCAACTGGACTAATTTGTGTTTAGAATAGGGATATGGCCTAAGCAAAGAAGCGTTTGGAATTTATAAAAGAATTGAATAGAAATAGTTACATAAAAGTGAACAAAATGACAGTAGTATTTCAATGTCATAGATGACCCTTTTTTTTTCCCATTCACTAGTTGATGGATAATTTTTTTCCGCTTTTCAGCTATCATGAATAATGTTGCTATGAACATCAGTCTACAAGTCTTTGTATGGGAATACGTTTTGATTTCTCGTCTGGGTACCTAGGACTGGAACGGCCGCATTGTATGGTACATATTTGTAGAAACCGCCAGTCGTTTTCTAAAGTGACCGTAGCATTTTACTTTTCACCAGGAAGCATTAAGGTTTCCGTTTCTTCACATCCTCGCTAACACTTGTTATTGACTGGTTTTTTTGGTCAAAGTCATTCTTGGGGTGTGTGTGTGTGCTATCTTACTGTCATTTTGCTATGCATTTTTCAAGCAACTACTGATAATGAGCATCTTTTCATATGCTTATTGGCCATTCCTATACCTTCTTTGGTGAAATGGCTATAAATATTTTGCCTATTTTGTAAATGGGTTTTTTGTCTTATTGAGCTGTAAGATACAAGGTCTTATTTATTTATTTATTTATATTCTGGATAAAGTCTTTTATCAGATATATGAATTGGAAATATTTTTATCTTTGTGTGATTTGACATTTTACTTTCTTAAGTAAGTAAGTGCACAAGTTTTTAAAGTTGCTAAAGTCTAGTTTATCAGTATTTTCTTCTATTGCTTGTGCTTTTGATGTTGTATCTAAGAAATCTGTGCCTAGCTCAAGGTTGTGAAGATTTGCTTCTGTGCTTTTTTTAAAAGTTTTATAGTTTTATATTTTATATTCATTGATAAATAAGTAACAATAAGAAGCCACTTATATATGAAATAAGTATAGGCTTGATGACAAGATGAATTAGAACTATACACAAAAATTGACTCAATAGGATCATATTTGTCTGATTTTCTTTTGATTCATGATAGCTTGTTCTTTCTTAAAGGATTTTAAGTCTTGTATTTAGTATGCACAATGACGTGAATTAATATTTTGATATTTTAAATGAAATAATTTTATCTGGAGTGGATTTTTGTTGTAATTATTGCTCTAGTAACTTTTTTCCCATGTGTTTTGGAATTTTAGTTTATAAGCTCATTTTTAGTCATCTCATTTAATTTTTATCTTTTC